CAAGCCTATCAAGTCAGTAAATTCACTTCTGCTTCAATTTATGTTAATTTCGTAACAGAAACACTATTCAAACGCTCACAGCATCACAGAAGGAGCAGGTATTCTACAGAGTTTTTGCTTCTAACTCATGTTAAAACACTTACAGAACTGCTGCCACAGAGAAGGACTTGTTACCGCTGTAACACTGAAGAAATCTCCTCAGAAAAACTCTCATCCCACTAGAGGGAGACAAATGATTGCAAAAGTATCACGTGAAAGCTCTGCTCTCTACAAAGAGCACAAAACCTATGCTCGTAAGATTGAATGATTCAAAGTGTCAGAAGAGCGACCGATGAAAGACTGACACAATGACTACTGCATGTTTCTCTTGTTCAGCACAGTAATACTGAATCTTAAGAGACAATTAAACCTGCTGCTGCCAGAAAGCTTACACACAATTTAAGTACACACAAAACTGGGAAAACAAAGACCAAAAACCATGCATTTTTCTTTACACAGGTAGATCTTTTTATATTCACAATGTATAAGACATAGATTAGAAATAATTATATTTTTTTCCTAGATAAATACACAAGCAGTACCAGCAAACAAGTTATGTCGCTAGGAAACTGAAGGAAAAGTTGAAATGTTGAAAGTAATCTGAAACAGTTCTGGTGACCATGTACCATGTGCCATCTTCATAAGTAAAATAATCATAGTGAGTAATTACATTATTATTTTAACAGCGTTATATTGGTAATGTTGCAAGTTGTAGATACAGCATGTTTCTAAATGAAAGTATGCTACCAGGGAACATCATCCTAATAAAAATAAATTAACTCTGAAAAATTAACTGAAGGTTGTAAGAAAAAGATGCAACATTTCTGAAAGATTTCTAGTAATTTTGTATTTATTCTGAATTCCCACACAGATTAGTAGCAGGTTAAGTTAAACCTTCACACTCTGTAAGAGCTAATTTAATATCATCTCTGAGGGGAAGTCCAGGAATGGTTTAACTGGCACAAAAATACACTGCAAAGGAATACGATGGTTTCCTGTAACTGAAAACACAGCCCCTTCCAGAAGACTAAAAAGAGCATGCACATTATGGGGCTGGAGAAAAAAAGGAGAGAAGATTCATTTATCCCCTCTTTAAACTGATCTTGTAAAAAAAACCCACATACTGCCTTAAGCAGCCATCAGATAAGCGGGAAGTACCAACTTAAAAATTGAATTTGTTCAACGTATCTTAAGCTTTGGCAGGGCAGGATAAATAATACAATTTAATGGTAATAATCATAATATATAAAGTGAGCACTAAAAGCAGTGGCGATGGAGAGCACACTCCCTCTGAGCACAAATACTGACTAGAGCAGAGCTGTGTCTCTTGCAAATACTCTTTTTCTGTGATGGTGGCAATGACAACCCAAGAAAACAATGTCTGCAGAACCAGTCATATGCTGAGTACAAATAAAAACTCCAGTGTGATAAAACACTAAAAAAATACCCACAAACTCAAACATAAAGAAATAGAACACTTTTGAAAGGAGCATTGACTTACGAATGCAGTAACATGCATTATAAGCCACATTTTAATTCGAACAGCACATAATCTCTTCATGTCTTGAACGCATTTGTGCTTCCTACCTTTAGTAGGACATAAGATGCCTATCTTGCACAAAGGCAATAAATGACTGTATCTCCTGAACAGTAAGGGTACTTCCCAGCAAACCGAAATCTGGAAGTTGTTGTGGTCATTACAGTCTGAATTGGTACAAACACAGGATAAAACTCAAGAAACAGGCATCTTTTCACCACTTAAAAACCTGCATAAAGCCAACATTCAAACTCCCTGGAACACTGACTGCATTACACCTGAACAGGCTGTTTAGCATGCTATGTTCTTAAAAGACTGTTTCTACTTTTAGCTTATTTTTTCCCCAATATTTTCACCAAAAAGCCTCTAAAGGACAACTTACAAAGCATCCCAACTAGGCAAAAAGCAGACAGTACAACTGCCCAGAATTCTACAAGAGTAACTATGTGGGGAAGAGAGAAATCTAATATTGAAGAGTGGGAGAGAAACACAAATTGGAGCATAGTTATAACATTGTCTGTCAACAACTGTCCTTTCTGCTTTAAGAAATCAATGTTTCTACGGATATTTCTCAATTATTCAAACTACTCCTGAGTTATATGTAAAAACAAGGACTGATAAAAATACAAAGATAAAATAGCCTAAAGTGATATAAATAAACGTGAGGGAATTTTAAGATAAGGTTTTAACAAACCATTTTCATTTTATGAATTCTCCTTTTCCATCATTCATCTACCTTCTACTTGTTACATTGTACCACAGTAAGATAACTTAGGTACTATGACCCCAAATCACATGGTTCACATTCTGTTCAAATCTATTATAAAAATATTAGGTAGCTTAACAATGTATTTGATCACAATTCAAAGACATGAGCTTAGATACTCATATTATTTGCTCTGAAGAAACTAAGGGGTTTTTTAAAAGGGGCAGATCGACAAGTATTTTGTATAAAATGGTTCATAACTCCAGGGTGACCCTTATCACAACACAAACAGTAATAAACTAATAGTATTTGCCAATACATTAGCAGCATAAAGAGTCCTGCACTCAATTAGAATCAAATGCATGAGTCTGTACAGACATAACCACTTCCTTTGCTCATGCAATTGCTCCTTTGTACTACAGTACTTTGTACTATTGTGTTTTTTCAGAGGGCTCTTTGGACAAGCACACTGTGCACTTCTTGATGGAAGTACTTGCAGAAGGAAAAAAATTAATACATTGTTAGAAGATTGTACACAGGTTAAACGTAGCTTAGCTCTATTTTTAAGATAAATAAAGATTTCTATCACTTGAAGCTCTCTCTTTAACTGTAAAGGTAATGACATGGAGTATTTCCAAGTTATTTTTCCTTACATGGGCTGTTTTGTTTTACTACTTGTTTTTCTTTAGCCTAATAAGCTCTAAAGTACAGTGAAAGAATTTTTTTAATGGAACTCTATATAGTTAAACCTTTACCTAAGTTAAACACTAAAAAAATACAAATTTTAAATTAATCAGCTCCCCTTTTTATCTGTTTATGTATCAAATTGAGAGCATAACTAAAACTCCACCTATATTTGACAAATGCACACTAGGCATAAAAGAAGAAAAAATGCACAGAAGTACTGAGTTAAAACAGCCATTTTGTAATTTAAAGGCAAAAAAATACAAACACCAAAACCAAAACACAAGCCATAGGGGAAGATTCTGCTGTTACATAAAATACACATACTTTAATTACTTAATGTTTCAAGGTTATCCATTGTAGTCTTATAGAAAAAACAGCCAAGTTAATATATTGTTCAGGTTTATCACCAATAGCAATTATTCACATCACATAAAGCTGATTAGATTAGCTGGGGGCTTTGGGGAGAAGTGGTTTTGGAGGATTTGTTTTGGTGGTTGATTGGATGGGGGAGTGTTTTGCAGGGTTTCTTGGGTTTTTTTGTTGTTATTTTTTTAAACTATCCTTGACGAAAATAAAACCTAGGTACTGTAATCCAACTGAGTGCTGAACAACTGCTGCTCAGGAATTTTTAAATCTTTTTAAATCAATCCATTAAGAACGCTATATAGTGTTCTCAGTGAAAAGGCAAAAGTATTTTTGATTATAGAAATTCACAGGAAAGTGTGAGAAATGATCAAGCCATTTTTGTTCCTATGCAGTCTAACTACATCCTTGCTGGAGAGTCACAAAAATCCCATTTGACATTTTTTTCTAAACAGCATTGTAAAACTAATGTGGGTTAGAACTGACAATTTACTCTCAAACTTTTGTTTAAATGAGAACCTCAAATTACAATGAAAGGTATCTATGTAGCTCATTCAGATTTATCCACCAAGTTTATGATTCTGTCAATCCATGAAATGCACACTAAGTATTTAATTCATCTCTTTGATTTAAACTAGTTCTCCCATGTATTTGAAATTTAAATTATGCTTTTATAGGAAAAGAAATCCTAAACATGACCTTATACTTTCTATTTTCCTTATCCAACATTCTAGTCCATTTCATTATGACTGTTGAAAAAAAAAACCTACGAAGTTTGAACAGTTTCAAATTCTCCCCACAAATTCTTTTCTATTAAAGGTGTATCACGCAGAACTGTTGACATATACATACTACTACTAAGAAATAGCCTATTAGCTGCTGTCCACAGCTAAATTATATAGGCTTCATTACTTCAGATTTGTGCATGTCACCACCTTCCTCCCACATGTTTTTAATCTTATCCTAAAAGTAGTTTCTTAAAAAGCAGAAGCTTAAAAATAGATTACATTCAGCTTTTTTGTGTCTCTTCAAATATTAGATTTCCTCCTTACCATACGTAGAATTCCAAACTAAGTTTGCTTTGTTTTAGGTCAGATTTCTATTTTCACTACCAATTAACACTAATTTATTTTTTTTTTAGGTTTGTGGCTCTTTTCCTTTTAAAAACTTCAAATCTTTGTGAAGCCTTTTAGAGAAGTTACTAGTCACTTTTTACTCTTTTTATGCCCTGGTATTCTCTGTTAAGTCTTGATCTTTGGTTTTAATACCAAAATTTTTTTACCATTTCCAATACCCTGTGTTCTATGTAGTTATTCCTTAATAGGAGTTTTTTTTAAAAGCTTTTCTCCATTTTAAGTTAATGTAAGCAAACTTTAAACTATCAACTGCTTTCTACTATGAATTCCACATTTAAATGTCAAACATCTGGTAACAGTTGTCATCGATTATCTTACCAAGCCTGGTACCAAAAGCCTTAAATATTTTAACCATTTTATGACATAAAAGGAATAGTGGCAGGAGGTTAATAGGAACTGACCCTATGCTAGCATAAATGTCTGTCTAACTGCTGAGGGGTTTTGATAGCAGATTTTCACCCAGTTTAACTGGTTCTTGAAAAAGGAGGATTACAGACATTATGAGTCAGCTTTAATCAGTTAAACAACTAACCTTTTGCTCTGTTTGCAGTTGGTCATATCTCTGCTTTTCATGGCTAAGTTCTTTTTCCAGTCTTTCAACTTGATCTCGGAGTTGTGCTGTTTCCTTTTCCAGAACAGAAGTTACCTTTAATAACTCTTCTTTTTCTTTTATTATTTTTTCAATTTTAAACTGTAAAAACAAAAACATTCCTTTTTGGTAATTTTTTTCCCCCTTATTCCTATCAAAAAAGCAGATAACAAATTACTTCAGTGTTTAGGCAGAAGCACATAACGTGTGTCCTCTGGCTAGGTTATTCTTCTGCTTTCCCCTCACCCCCCAGTTTCTGAAGTTTCATTGCTTTAACTGAACAGTACTGGGTTACCATTAGACAGCACACTTTGCAGTGTCTTGATTTATGCTCAAGTTTTCCTGCCTTAAGTGAAGTGCTTTTACTGTTCCCAAGTGACAGCAACTAGGTAGGAGCTAATTACGATGATGACAGCTTAGTGAAAAAATGGCTGCTGAGTGTAGAGAGACACACACTTTAAAGCAACATTTATGGAGTTTCATGAACAAAATGAACACACACATAGCCAAAATGACTGGACAGATTTTTAGTAGGAAATGTAACAATGTGACAAGGGATAACGGTTTTAGACTAAAAGAAGGTAGATTCAGACTAGCTATAAGGAAGAAATTTTTTATTATGAGGGTGGTGAAACCTGGAACAGGTTGCTCAGAGATGCTCTAACCCTGGAAACATTCAAGGTCAGGTTGAATGGGACCCTAAGCAACCTGATCTAGTTGGAAGATTTCTCTGCTCACTGCAGAAGGGTTGGACTAGACGACCTTTAAAGGTCCCTTCCAACCCAAACCATTCTATGATTCTACGAACCAAGGTAACAAAAAAGGTTTGAAAAATTATTTTTTTAGTACTGTGGATACATATCTGAAAAGCAAAAATATCCCAGATACAGCTCTGTACTAAAGACTCTTACCTCTAAGTTTTGAAAACTTTAAATTGAATACATGCATGTATGTGCCCAGATGCAACTGACAAGAGGATAAAGCATCTGATTACAAGGTAGGGGGTATTGTACAGAGTAACTTTCTAATAAGCAACTCTTATGATCAAGTTGTGTTGGTTTGGGGTTGTTTGTTGTTGTTGTTGTTGTTGCTGTTTGGGCTTTTTAAAGGAGTTTTCAAAATATCAACAAGCAAACTGAAACATCTTTATTCTGGATGTAAACATGTAGATCTAACCACATCCATCTACCTAAGAATATAACACAGAGTACTCCTTTAAATAAAACAAGATCTACTAAAAAATACTTAAGACCCCTGCAATTACTCAGGTTAGTTTTCAGGGCTTTTCACTCATGCACAAATAAAAGTATACTAGTTCCTTAATTTTCCTTACAGGCACCATTTCACACAAAGGGTATCTTAGCCCCTCTGGTTAGCTGGAGAGTACAGATGTGAGAGATGTGCAGCTATCTACTCTCTTACAGTTCCCCAACCAATGCTTAGTGCTATAGCATACCTGTAACAAGTTTAAAATCCTTACTCATTTAACCTACAAATGTTCTGAATTAAAATAAAAACACTGGGGAACAAGCCAGAAATACATACATCATACATATATACATAGGTTTTCCCCTTGGCTTATTCAATACTATATCCTGTGAGTGTATGCATATGTATAATTTTTTTTAAAAAAAAAAGGGTAAAATTTTAAGAATTGTTGAATCAAACCTCAAGTAGTCCAGCTTTTGTGGTCACCACTAACATATCAGAGTTTCCTTCATCTTCCATAGTGAGCAATTCTTCAACAGGGGAAGAGGTACGAAACTGGAAAGGTGTGCTTGCTCCACGGATTTCTCCTTTATGAGTCACATAACAGAACTGGTAAAACTCTCCATCATCATTTGGTAGATAGTATCCTATCAAAATAAATCCATATTTGAAGAAGAATTCTACACAAACATACAAGTCTCTATCTGTAAATATATTATTAGATGTTTGACTTAATAATTTAATCCTCATTATCTCAGCAGAAAAGTCATCCTACTTAGTAACTTTCAAACCCCAACACTTTCTCCTTTCTTTTGAGAAAAAGCCAGAAGTGTCAGGTAATAGGTGTTATACATACACATCACCTTACATTAGGTAAGAGCTGCTGTTTATATATTTATGAAACAGAATCATTAGCATTAAGATGCTCTGAAGATAGATCACATTATTATGTAACTGTTGTACAATCAGAGAACAAAAAGCTATTTTTTTTGGCCTTGGAATACGTATACAACCAAAGACACCAGACAAAGAATAACATGCAGTGACATAGGGGGTTTTTTGGTCAAATTACCAATTTGCTTCTGCTGTTTTTACTTGCTGATGCACGGGAATGCTCATGCTCTGAATGGATGACACAATGTTAACAAGCTGCAAGTACCGAGCGAGTCATAGGGGGAGGGTTTTTAGAAAAGAGCTTATTTTTCAAAACTGAAAAAAAATTATTCACCACTTCACAAGGTAAGATTCAATCGTCTTTCTTGTAGCTATGTAACTCTGCATGCTGCTAGCAAATTATTTCAGAAGAATTTCTGTGTGGTTATGCAACCAAACTGTTGCCAACTACAGTCTCACCAAGTCACTTACACCACCTGGATTCACACAGTAATATTTGTGGATATTAAACAATCATTTCCAGAACTAATGAGATTTCACCTTTATTAGTGAACACGAGAAACCACACCTTACCCAGCTGAATGGTAAGAAAACCAACTGGTTTTATTCAGAATGCTTAATTATCAGATACTCTAGCCAGCTTGAGTATGATTCTAGCATAATAAATCCTCATCTGATGTTCAATCCAGCAAGTGATGTCACTGATCTCTCTTCATATTTCACCACAATTCAATCTGCTCCCTTTCTAACTTTATCATTAATTTCTATTCACCAATTTCTATTCCAGATTCCTGGAAGACTTTTCCCAGTACTCTTAACTACGTTTCCTACAAATGGTAAAACATTACACGTCCTACATGGACAATACTTGTACCAAGCACTTCATGTTTCCATTAGTCTTATAGTTTATTAACTGTAACTAAGGATCACAATCCATGGCCATTATCCTTTTTTATATTTAATGAGCAAAACGTGGCTCCATCATCTTTATAGCTTCATACATTAACATAGAAACTATTTCTTAGTTTTTATCTTCCTTCTACTAGACCTTTTTTGGAACTGGGAAGGGTAGGGAGAGGATATGATCTTCACACAGTGTTGAAAACATAGTCACACTATAGATTTGTACAGTGGGTGTAACATTTTCTGGTTTGTTCTTTATTCTTTTCTTAAAAGCTTCAGTCATTTTCATCAATTCCTCACTGTCAAAAGTTCCTCTGCAACCCTCTGACAACTCTTTATAGAGTCCTTCAAACCATCACCTACATTATTTATTCTTTGACAGGAATCAGTTTACATTGAGAATGTTTGAAGTCCAGAGACCAAAGGTAATGTAAAGACACAATGCACTTAAGAGATGTCACGATTAAAAATCCTGTAAACTGCAATTTTCTGTATTTGAAGTTTCCACCAGAGCTTCTGTCAGTAATTAATATTGTCTATTACTGTGTAAAAACATATATAAAGTAACATACTTCCCCTTAAAATTTCCTTCCAATTTATGTTTGTAGAAATCTAGAACTGTTATACAACCCTCAGCATTGTAGTGAACAGCTAAGTATTTTAAAAGCTGTGTATGTTGGAAAATACAGGTACATACTGCTATATACTCACCTTGAAAAGTCAGCACACAATTAACAGTTGATCCTTCCACATAATTTTCTGGCATAGGTGACCAAAGAAACGTGTAATAATCTCTTGCAGTACTCCAACCAACCTAACATAAAATAAACCACAACAAAAAAATGAAAGAGAAAACATTAAGCAGAAGAATTTGTTACACAGTTAAGATACCATGATCTGGCCTTTACAAAATATTATAATATGTATACTTCTGCTTCAACATACAATAAAAAGACACCTAATGTTTACAAATCAGGAACATTTTAACAAGCATGTCAAAGATGGAGAATGAAATTTATTAAGCTTGTTACCTAAGGCAATAAATGGGTCTACGGCAGTAAAAGGGTCTATATAAACTAAAATACAAGACAGTTTTCACTATACATTAAACTATTATTTGGTACATTTTTTTTCTATAGAGATATATATTTGTGTATTAAAAACACATAAATTCTGACGCTTACAGTGGGTTATTCTTATTGTAATTCTGCCAATGCTGACTATTATGTGTCCACAATCCAACAGGTTCATCAGAATACAAGAGGGAGGGAAGAAAAAATAGCTCTCTCTCTTTTACTGGAAAGCCCAAATTGGACAGTGCTAAACCAGAACTTTTTGAACAAGTCCTGCAATATTGAAGTCCAGCATTTCACTGGAATGCTAATTATTTTATACATACATGCTACGCCTGCAAAGAAAAAAAAAGCTACACAAAAACCTAGCTCAGCCTTCCCACTTATTTCAATAAAGATCTGCTTTCAGACTTTTCCTAAAAGTGCAGTTCTGTACAGTAAGACATGCTATCCTCTGAAGAAACAAACACATTCCGACAAGACTGAAATACATGCATCTAAACCTGAAACCCAAATTAACTACTGTAAGGCACTGGATATTAACAACAGCAGTAAAGAAGAACAAAATATCTGTTTTATTCTACAGACTTAAGAAAAAAAATAAATACCAAAAATTGTCAAATGCTAAGTGTGGTATCATTTACCAGTAACTGGGTATGTTTTCTTGGAAGAGGTGAGAAAAGGAAAGGGGACAAATTGTCTACCAATTTCTATCAGGTAAGAACACTTCAAAAGGGAGGAAAAAAAAAAAAAGGAAAAAAGAAAAACCCCACAAAAACCCCACCAACTAAAACAAAAATTGTTACAAATAATGATTTCTATTACTAAAACAGCCAAAATTTCTAGCATGTTCATACTAAATCCTCCTTTGTAAAGGATACATTGCAGTAGTATTTAAAAAAGTATTAAGAACTGTTTTTTAAGGAGTTATCAGCTTGAAATAAAAAACAGATAAACATATATTTAGACAGGCAATCAGAATAGAAAGTAATTCAATAGCAATTATGTATGTATACAGGTATACATTTCACATATGAGCATTACTAAAAAACATAATATTGGAAAACAAGGCTGAATGACAGCAAAACCAGATGAAATTTTCATTTTGCTAACCACAGTCACTTCTTTAAGGCAACAGTCATTAAATAGAAGCAGTGCAGACCCTTAATGTACCCACCAGAATGGATTTGCATACTACATCTTAAGCCTACTCTTAGCCAAAACTTTGAAGATTTCTGTGATACCACCCATCAAGGAGCTTTTAAAGAGGTGGATGAAATTCTATTTCCTGGGGGTGCTATTCATACACTTACATATCTCAGAAATAACAAGGAAAGTTCTTCCTGTTAACGTGAAGGGGGAGGGGGTGAAACAATTTTTTCCTTGGTAAAAGTTCACAAATTGCAAATTTTCCACATTAGCCATGTCTTTAAATCCAAATTAGATGTTAACACCACTTTCTTGCTGAACCTGCTTTAACCTCAGAGAAGGGAAGTATATACCATTACTAGCTGTCTTAAAATAAAAAAGCAGATAGCTTTTTTAAATGTAGTTCTCAGTAAGTGAAAAAGTCTCCATCTTTATAATTTCAAAAGAGAAACTCAATTTTGATGTTCCGCAAAAATACTGTATAGAACTGAAGTCATCTTTTCATTCAACTCTAGTTTTTGTTGCTGCTTAAGAAAACCAAACACAGACATTCTTATTCTGATGCTATTTTCCTGAGTAAAATTACATCCTTCCGTTTGATAATAAACACTTTGGAAAACACAGAGAGAGTAAAATCCAGTTACTATAGAACAAAAAATTGTCCCTCTAGGAGATCAGTTCAATTTCTGATTGCTTTTCCTCTGGGACTGTAGCTTTTTTTTGGTTTTGTTTTGTTTTAAATATCATCTGTTGATCTGTAAATTTAATAATCTATTCTGAAACCAAAAATTCTTTTTATTAATATTTTACCTGTAACAGTAATCTACGTAAGATTTTTTTACGGTAATTTAAAACTTTAGTCACATTGATACAAAAAAACCACAGTAGTTTACCAGAGAACACATAATACATAACACATAATACTCCTGGCCCACTTAGAAGGTGCCTTATTTTCAAGTGTGAGTCTAATCTGTGGGTTACTGGTAACAAGAGAACTGTGACACATCTAGAGCTAGTGAGCAATACCCTGGCAAGTTTACCCCAGACTTATTTTCTCCAGCTATTCCCCCTATTTCCTGTCACCCACCAACTGCTTCCCTCCCAAAAGCTCCCCATCTTACACTACTGAAAACCCACTTGTTTCCTAACAGGGCATATTCAAGTCTTCAGAAGGTGTGGAATGTCCCATGACTCCTTTCATTGCATAGGATTTCAGAAGACGAGGGTTTTCCCCACTGCAGATTGCACACTTCAAAATGTGACAATGCAGGGAAGGAAATATGAACACATATCATATACATTTAAAAAAGGGGAAGTCTCTGTAGTCTGCAGCAAAGTGAGTTAACTAAGGAACATTACTCAGTCTTTTCTACGTAAGTGACAACTATTAACTTCCACGGGTTTATTTCTTAGATGACAAAAACAAGCAGCAAAACCAAAGCAATGATACACTGAGAAGAAAAAAAAAAAAAAAAAAAGTAAGTAATGGGTGCTTTAGGTCTAGGATCTAGACCTTTAATAAAAAAAAAAAATCTCTCAAGAGGTTTAATGAAACTTAACTTTAACTTAACTTTAACTTAACTTTAACTTAACTTTAACTTAACTTTAACTTAACTTTAACTTAACTTTAACTTAACTTTAACTTAACTTTAACTTAACTTTAACTTAACTTTAACTTAACTTTAACTTAACTTTAACTTAACTTTAACTTAACTTTAACTTAACTTTAACTTAACTTTAACTTAACTTTAACTTAACTTTAACTTAACTTTAACTTAACTTTAACTTAACTTTAACTTAACTTTAACTTAACTTTAACTTAACTTTAACTTAACTTTAACTTAACTTTAACTTAACTTTAACTTAACTTTAACTTAACTTTAACTTAACTTTAACTTAACTTTAACTTAACTTTAACTTAACTTTAACTTAACTTTAACTTAACTTTAACTTAACTTTAACTTAACTTTAACTTAACTTTAACTTAACTTTAACTTAACTTTAACTTAACTTTAACTTAACTTTAACTTAACTTTAACTTAACTTTAACTTAACTTTAACTTAACTTTAACTTAACTTTAACTTAACTTTAACTTAACTTTAACTTAACTTTAACTTAACTTTAACTTAACTTTAACTTAACTTTAACTTAACTTTAACTTAACTTTAACTTAACTTTAACTTAACTTTAACTTAACTTATCTTTAATAAGCCTAGTATGAAGTAGACAGTGGTTCAGAAATACAAAACACTCCTACACAGTCATAAGCTTCTCTATGGCAACAGATTATATTGTCACATATACAGGGCTATAAATACACATTGAATGGCTCAGAAATTATCTAATTGTGACCTTTGACAAACATTTCTTTTAGCTCAGAAGGAAAACAAATTGTTGCCTAAAAATAGGGCTAAAATTATATAAAGACATTTTAAGATTGCTTAAGATAAAGGAAATAAAAAAATTAAACAAGAAAAGCCCAGCAGCAAAAGCTACAGAAGAAATGAATAAAAAGTGAAAATGACAACAAGGAAGATGGGAATACTTGCCAAAAGCCCCAGAGTGATTTTATTACGAAAAATCACTGTAGCTCAGGAAGCAAAGTGAACAACCATCCTCTCATCATTATCAGGAATACCAGCTTGGAAAAAATATTTTCATTTTCATGAAAGGAACTAGAAAAGATAGACTGTTTCCCTGACTTCTGGTCAAAGCAACAAAACTTACTACAAATAATACAGACTACCTTCCATTAGTCTCCAGATGGGGAGAGGAGTCCAGATGCACAAGAACCTGTTAGTTGTCAAGACCTTACCCGGACTACACTGGGCATGGGGCAAATAGCACCAAATCAGTACTGTACTTTGAAAAAAAAAAAAACAACAAAACAACCTAAGAGAACATTTTTTTAAATAAATGTATTTTCTTAAAACTACATGTGCAATAAGTAACTGCATATTGCAGATACTTAAATGCCACTTTCTGTGAAAGCTGTAAAATTTCAAGGTAGCAATTCCTGAGCAAAAACTAAAAAAAGAGTTCCCCGGCCAGTAGATTCCTTAATTTCATACTTAGAAAACTCAAAGGTAAGTTTTAAGTTAAAAGCAGATAAACTCATCCTAGTCTTTCTTCTTCAGAAATGTTTTCTCCATAAAACAATGTTCAAGTAGTAGATAAAAGTTGTGAGGCTGCCACCTCACAAAACCTTTAGCAGCTGATGCTCTAGTCCTTGGGGTAATGGGGCTCCTGGGACCCCACTGTACTGCTGAAACAGCAGAAACTCAGAACCTTCTCAGTGGAAAAAAATCCAATCTCAAATCTGTTTTGATTATTTGTATCTCCAAGCTTATACATGCAGGGGTCTCCAGGAAATTCCCAAAACAGTAACAGAAAAAAAATTTCAAACACAGGATTTATGTTAGGACTGGAAATTATCCTAACAAGTAGAAGCAGAGAAATTCTCCAATATTTGAAAAGCTGTCAGCATGAAGATAGAAAGAAGCAGGGCTGCTATCTGAGCTTGTGTTCAGACTCTCTCTAGTACTCTCTACTGGAACATGAATGCATGTTAAGAAGTAAATGCAGGTATTT